GTCTTAAAGATACTGCAGTGGAGTTCATGATTTAGACTGCAGTGGAGTTGATGATTAGTATGTTCTTTCCCTACCTTAACTGTGTTATATTTCCTATTTGAGGGACCTACTTCTAGTTATATACAATTACAGATGCATCATTTTCTGATTATTAACTGGTTGCAGCATGTTCCTTCGATATGAAGTTCACGTACATATTAACTGGTTGGGAAGGGTCAGCACATGATGCATGAGTGCTTAAAGATGCTGTCGACAAACCAAAGTTCAAATTCCCACATCCACCGCCAGGTAAGAATTCAAACCAACGACATAATTCTAAGTCATATACATGTATGATATTTGATAATATGTTCTTGTTATTTCTCAGGTGAAGTTAAAGACAAGATTCCATGTGGTGGGAATGGTCTTGAACTCATTTTGGCAAGGATTAATTATCATAAGCAGGTGCTTCCTGCCCTTGCTGGAGCTATGGATGATTTCCAGAATCCTAGAATGCAGGTCATCCACTAGCTTTATGCTTATCAATTTCTTCCCCGAATGACTAATTTGATTTTGTATGAGATATGATTGCTCAACACATGATCAATATGATATCAGGTGTTTTAAGTTAACACACACACACACATGGGTGACGTGCAAGCAAACTGATGCCCCATATGACATTGGCTTGTGCATTTTGTTACGTGCTTGCTTTTCCCTACCTTAATTGTGTTATAGTGCTTATTTGTGTCTACATTTGTCAGCAAAGATTATGTGGCTTAATTGGGATTTTGGTCCATTGAATAAATCAGCAATCAAGCAAAGTGGAGATGCATGGAGGATAGTCATTGACTCTTGTCTTCCCGTATTGCATTTAATTGATACTAGGCGTTCTATCCCATACGGCATTAAACAAATGGCCTGTTGGTTCACATGCTATATTATTTCTACCGGATCTGTTGAATGAAGTTGAAAGAAACTTACAGGTATTTACATGAGGAGGACATATTCCATGTTCCATAATCAGAAATAGCCTGTTGGTTCACATGCTATATTATTTCTTTTGCTCATGTTTGCAAATTTGGCCTTAATGAACTGCTTGTTCATCTTTTTATTGTTGTGCAACAATGGCCTTACGAAGCCGCCGCTATACCTTTTGAGGCTATACCATGAACGCTAGCTCAGAATTGTGGGGTCAATGTGATTAGGACAATGACTGCGCTGCAAGGAAAGGTAGGAAGTAGTTGGTATGTTGTTTTCTGAAATAATTTTTTCATTTCGAGTTCTATTGATTTTTTCTTACTTTTTGTACTAATTGTTGTTTCAGCATGCAAATGGTGAAAATTATTTGGATATATTGGATTGTTTACACTTGTGGCACTGTGGTGGCTTGGTAAGTGTTCAAAAATAGTAATGCTTCTTTGTACTGTCATTTCCATGTCATAGTTTGACTTGGTTTTTTTGTCCGACCTCTAGAATTCTCTTTTGGCTAAATTTTAGTGCTAGAACTTTTGGGTTGTAATAGAGAATGTCATTCCTACTTCCTAGTACATGTGTGCCTGAACATCCCATACCAATTTATCCCTAGTTCCAACCCTTTGCCCTAACGAGTAATGACTCTGCTAGTCTTGTATGATCTTTCGTTACATTGTGTTCTACAAAGTCGGATGCTAAAGTTTGCTTTATTCGGTTATGCTTCCTCAACTTTTACTTCAACACTGCTTTGCCTAAATGAGAAATATTTCTCCTCTATGTTTCCAAATATTCATTTCTTCTTATTAAATTAATGTCTTTAATGTAGAGCTTGAGGTGGACTCCCCAAAGAGCCTGGAAAATGGAGAGGGTGGGTGGTTGATAGCACCTCGGGAAGCTTGCAATCCAATTGCCGAAGTGGTGCAGGAGGCCATAAGGAAGATGGAAATGGTAGCTGATGAGAAAATGAGAATGTAGGGGTGTCTGAGAAGATGAGAATTGCCGAAGTGGTGCAGGGGCGTCTGAGTGGGGCTGAAGCTGAGAAGCAGTATCTGTTTGAGAAGATCAAGCAGTTGTATGTATTTTGATTTATTTAACTGTAATGTTTGTGGTTGTTACTTGAGTGTCAAATGTCAATGAATGTATGTCGAATATTGTCTCTGTCTCTGACTTTTAGTAAAACCAATTTGGGAATTCTGGACTGGTAATTTTGTGCTACATAAAAGTGCTTATGGGATTGCGTGGGATTTTTTTTCTAGTAATTGGCTTCTTATATAATGGAAGCGTGGGAGACAAGTTTGATATATGATTGGCTTGTTATATATTTTTATTCACATTTTTTCTATTTATTTCTCACTAGCTTGTTATAATTTTGAGCTATAATTATTTGCATAATTTTTTTCTAGTACTTTATTTTTTTAATTATATAACGAATTATATATTTTTTTTAAATTACACATAGCGAATTATATTTATTATATAATTTTTTAAATTACATTATTTTGGTCATGATTCAAATTCAGAAAACAAGACAACCAAACACTGGTTCGAATCACATTTTAGGTTAGAATCAGAATCATGCATATACACATCCAAACGAAGGTTCTAATCACTCTGAATCATGATTCAAATCATGAATCATGATTCAAATCATGAATCATGATTCAAATAAAAAAGACTCAAATCACCACAATTTCAATCCTTATACCAAACGGGCCCTTAATTATTGTAGGCACGGCTCACGACTAGGGATTGCTTACTCTTCTTTTGTTGGTGGCTCTTGCAATCACTTACCTCGTGCACTAAATTTTCTAAATTTCATCTTATGAGCTTATAATATATATACACATATATAGAGATAAATATAGATATTTGATTTTTTATTCTGATTCTTTGTGAAATATCCAAATCCTTGTATTGCTGGAGGAGCGGTGCCTTTTGTACTATGTGAAAAGGTTGAGAATTAATATGAGAAGCTGTTGATTCAGTTGACAATTTTATTGCCTCATAAATTGTTTTGATGTTTGTTTATGCATAAGAACGATTTTCTACCTTATGTTGTAATCTTTATATGAGATTATGTTGTGTACAGGTTAAACCGTGAAGCTTCAAGATGCATGGAGAATGATCCAGACATGTAAATGACGACCACCAGAGAAGGGCCTCTGCTAGACGACGACGACGCGTTATGGCTGCAACCGGAGCTGCAATAGCCACTGCCGCGTTTTTGGATATTGACACAGTACCAAGGCCTATGCACATTTCTTCTCTGAGGGGCGTCGATAAGGTAAATGGGTTGTTGGCAAACAATAATGAAACTGCCATGTTTAACAAGGTGCGTATAGGATGGCGTGCATTTATGGTTCTTTGTGACATACTAACTGAAAGACGGTTGTTACAACCCTCATACAACATGAATGTACCAGAACAATTATTTGTGTTTTTAACAATTGCTTGCCAAAGTCAAACTAATCGTGAAGCTCAAGACATATGGCAACATTCTGGGGAGACCATTTCACGGCGGTTTAGTGATGTCCTCAACGCTATATGTGCACTACACGATGATTTTATTAAACCCCCTAACTATGAGAAAGTCTATGTTTTTTTACGTCGGAATCGACAAAGATATGGTACATGGTTTGGCGTAAGTTCTCTAGCTCTTTGACACTGGTCTTGTGTTAGTCACTGTTTCAATTGTTCTTTTTATAATATCTGCAATCCAATATCATTGTTCAGGATTGTGTGTGCGCAATTGATGGAACTCATATACCTTGTACACCGATTGATGTTCCAAATCCGACGGCGTATCGTAATAGGAAGGGTGTGAACTCCCAAAACATGTTGGCAACCTGCTCGTTCGATATGAAGTTCACGTACTTGCTATCTGGATGGGAAGGTTCAGCGCACGATGCACGAGTGCTCACGGATGCGCTCTCCAGTCCTAGGTTCAAGTTCCCACGCCCCCCACCAGGTTATACTTCATAATGTATATGTAGTTATGGCTATTAATAGTATGTGGCATAAATTGCATCCTAATTTATATAAATTGTGCAGGAAAATACTATCTTGTTGATGCGGCGTACGCGAATAATGGTTATTTTCTCGCTCCCTACAGAGGTGGGACTTACCATTTGCCTGATTATAGAAGGAGAAGTGGTGGATTTCAGGGAGCTAGAGATATTTTTAACTACAAACACTCGTCGCTACGAAATTGTATAGAGCGAACATTTGAGGTTTAGAAGGCTAAGTTCCCTATCCTAAGGCGCCCCAATAATACGTATCCAATGGATAAACAAGTGAAGATTCTAGTTGCTTGTGCAATACTACATAATTTCATTTACATGTTTAATGAGGGGGACCCCTTTCTAAATCAGTAATACTGTGATGGTGTATTGGTAAGCGAAATAGATCCGAACTATGATGATGAATTTGATGACGATGACACAGATGGTAATGTCTCTGAAGGGCCAGTTGTAACATGAGGTAGTGTTAGTCATACAAAGATTGATCGTTTTAGGGATTGCCTTGTGAATGTAATGAGGGTGGAATACCAGAGAAGTCGTGGGAGACAAGTTTGATATATGCCTGGCTTGTTATATAATTTCATTCACATTTTTTCCATTTATTTCGCAGTTAGCTTGTTATAATTTTGAGTTATAATTATTTGTATAATTTTTTCTAGTACTTCATTTTTTCAATTATATAACGAATTATATTTTTTTTAAATTACACGTAACAAATTATATTTATTATATAATTTTTTAAATTATATTTATTTTGGTCATGATTCAAATTCAGAAAAGAAGACAACTAAACACTGGTTCGAATCACATTTCAGGTTAGAATTAGAATCATGCATATACACATCCAAACGAAGGTTCTAATCACTATGAATCATGATTTATCATGAATCATGATTCTGAATCAAATGACTCAAATCACTCTGATTTCAATCCTTATACCAAACGGGCCCTTATAGAAAATCTTTGGGGACGTCAGCCGTCGTCACGAACCCCCTAAGAGAGAAAGGCAACCGGTTAGTGCCCGTTTCCCTCCGTCGCGTCCTCCCCCTTTTATTCACTCTTCCCTCCCCCTCTTTCGCCGTCCGTACACACTGCCCCTTTCTCTGATTCTCTCTCTACTTTCCGGTTTCCCTTCTTTCTCTCTCTAAATTCGTCTCTCTCTCTCTCCTCCAAATTTTACCACTCCCGCCGATCTAGGGTTTAAGCTTCTCTCCTCTCTCCAATGGCTTCCTCCAAACCCTAGCCGATAAAGTTTCTTGATTATTTTCCACATTTCTTTTTCGTCTTTCTTTCTTCTTGCTTTGATTGTTTCTTCTATTTGGCGGCGAATGGATGGGATTTCCAATGGCGGCGACGTGCAGTCGAGCGGCGGCGAAGGGAGTCAGCCGGCGGTTGCTGCTGTTCCGGCGCCGATTCAGAACGCGAACGCGCCGCCGCCTTTCTTGAGCAAGACGTACGACATGGTGGACGACCCGGCGACCGACCCGGTCGTGTCGTGGAGCCCTACGAACAACAGCTTCGTGGTGTGGAACCCGCCGGAGTTCGCCAGGGACCTCTTGCCCAAATACTTTAAGCACAACAATTTCTCGAGCTTCGTTAGGCAGTTGAACACCTATGTATGTTTCTTCTATCTCTCTATCTTGTATTTAGCCACTCGAGGTTCTTGATTTTCTGTTATTAGTGGTGGTTAATGCTTGCTGGAGATAGAAATATATAGTGGGAATATGCTATTGAAAGCCTTGATTGTTCGATTGTTGTTCAGATTGAGGATTGAGATAGTATTTAGCTATTCAATTGAGTGGCAATTGTGCAATTCTTGAATTTCTTTACATGGGAAAATGATTAGATTAGGTTGTGATGCTGAATAAGATTGAAATTCTCCATTAATTTCTAGGAATTTGTGGAAAAAGTTCTGGTTTTTTACTCCTATTACCGTTGTTCTTGTGTGTTAGTGTTACTATTTAGATGTTCTTTTCTTCCGTTTTAAGTGCAAGTAATCTGCTTCAGTTAAGTAGTTTTGGTGGGGGTCTTTGATAACTTTGTTTGTTAATCTCAAGAGAATGACAAAACGCTCTCAATTTTGATGCCTCTTCTTCCTATATTTTCTCAGCAACCAAATGCAGCTGATGAAGATTAAAGGGAAAAGAAATATGATGACATGATTTCAAGGTTAAAATTGTTTGTCCATCGCATTTTTGCGTTTGTAATAAAGTGATGTCTGAGGACAAATCAATAATAAGAAGTCCTTGTCTCCTTTTTTGACAGCTATAGGATTACATTTTCTGGCATGTAAAAAACTAATAGATAGATATAACTCCGGGCTTTGGTTATCAGATCAATTTGTGTCACTTCTCCTTGAAGTAAATTTAAGAGCCGCATCGGGCATCTTCGTTAATGTAATTTCTGATCCAGATTCATGAAAGTATCTACTATTTTAATCAGCAGCACGTTCGTTTCCTTTGAAGATCCAATAAGAAACATAGGTATGTAGGATCTGATTTGGTAGGCTCCTAGTTGTAATTGTTCAAATACAATTTCAAGCAATCTTCTTGTATCTTTTGTGTTGAATTGGACTTCTATCTAAAGGTCAAGAGGGAAACTCCAATTTCTGCATTTGGTTTGGCTTGACGCAGTTATGGAGTAAAGGGAATTAAGAGACATTTGCAATTATTCATTCATTTATTAGCTTCTTCTACTTTATTGAGCGGTATCTTTGTTGTTTTCCTTCTTTGCTTCAGTAGTCGTTAGTACTTTCATTTCGAGTCCGACCTGTGTAAGCATGACAGAATTCTACACTTGAATGATGACAATTAGGATTTTAAATCTGCATAAAAACTATGTGAACCGTGTGATCGCTTTGTGGTGTTGATGCATCAAGTGTTAGGTTGTCCCCTACTTGGAACTAGGTTGCTGTATGGTTGCTTGCTTTTGTATTGAGATACAAAAATTTTTCCAACCTACCTGTGAAATATCACGCGTTGGGCTGTTAACTCTTAGTTTTCGATATGGGTAAGTTTTAAAGTTTTGTTAGCTCCAAAATGCTAAATGTAACAATAAGAAATTTGACACCTTAGCGGGGATACATAGTAGCGGCGCTCTCTGCCTTGTGACTGTATAACCCAGTGTAGAAATTTTCTGAAATAAGTTATTAGCTGTGGGTTTACTGTCCTCCCATTTCTTTGTTTAGATGTCTTCATGCTATCTCTGCATATTTTTCTATTCAAGTGCTATTTGTTTTGGCTGCTAATACTGTTATGGTCTTGGTTAGTGAATCTTATTTATTGAATAGAAAATATTCACTTTTGTAAGATGATAGATATTAGCATTAATGCTTGATTATATTCAAATTAAGGTTTTTCCAGCTGTTTCTACCAGGTCTCATTCAGGTGGTGTAGAAAATGAAGCTCCCTTTGCAGTGTACCTATTTTGAATTGGATGTTATCTAAATCTAGAGGATGTTAGTAATAGAACCGGACTGATGACTTCATTTCTGCTGATGGGAAAATTTGTTCCGATGACAACAGTAGATACCTAGACAAGAATGGCAATCTGCAAGTACAGCCCATGTTTCGAATTGGAAGTTCAGAAATATTCTAGCCACATAGAAAAAACTAGAAATACATGAAATTTACAACTGTGATAGTAAGAAACGTGAAATTAGGACTAAAAGGTGACTAGGAAAATTAGAATGGAAGGAATTAACGGTTGTATTTCTAAGATACATGAATGTAAGTTAAGCCCTCGTTTGTTTTACTAGTTTAATCAGTTCAACTCAATTCTAATGGTGAGCACAATTTGAACTTGTGTTTGGTAAGCATGCAGGTCGAATTATATTCCCTGTTTGAATTGAGTTAAACTGTCCAATTTAGAATTTAACTCCCCCCTGAAGTTTAACGGTTCTAGTCATTTTTAAATAGTAAAAAGTGCCCACTCTCTCTTCTTTTAACACCTACCAAACACAAATTTAAATTTCATTCCCTGTTCAAATTAAAATTTTAATTGCACATCCAAACCCCATTCTAACTACAATTCAAACTACACTGTTTGAATTTTTCTGTTCAAATAAAAAAGTTCAAATCAACAGAATTTAAACCAGTGAACCAAACAGGCGCAAAGGAGTGATTGCATTTATATGTAGAGCTTTCTAGAGTAGTTAGGGCCCTTAAAGTTCAGCCATGATTCAAATGTCTTCTTGTATTTGAGCTTGACATTCCAAGATCTTTCTGTTTCGATGTTATTTAGTGTGTATATCATTTTGGACATGTTTTATGTTGATGTTGGCATGTTGCTCTGACGCTGACTCTTTTTTTTTTCTCTTTTATTTTTTATTTCCTTTTATTTCTTTTTTCCCCTGATACACTATAGGAATTAGAAAGGTGTACAATATTTGGTCCCTCAAAATTTTCGTTTGTTATTGGTTTAGGAGCTTTCGGGTGGAAATTTGAGCAGCAAAGCTATTCAATTGTGAGAATATTCTCACTATTTTCTGATCCATTTGGCTCAATGCGAATTCTTGGATTTCTTAGTGCAAATTTTAGGATGAAATTTCCCTTTGGGATAGGATTCATTTTTGGGCATCTTTGTTGCGGGCTTCTCTTTTTATAGAATTTAGAGATGTTAGTTTTATTTTTAGACATTAGATTAGTTTCTAGTTGCTCTTGTTTGTTCTAGTTTTCTCCTCTCTCTCCCTCCCTCTTTTTTGTTGCTTGCTAGGACTGCTTCCCCTCCCGTTGTTTCTCTGTTTATTTGTTTATGCGTAACCTTTTTCTGCTTTTGTTAAATTTTCGTTTCTTATTGAAAAAGAAAGTTACAATATTTAAAGACCAAAGTCAAGATTAGATTTCAAATATATTCCTGATTTCTGTATTTTCTGAAGTTTGAAAGATGTTTGCTAGATTTCTTCTCGGTTCTTCTACTCTGGTGGAACTTCTTGTTTTACAGATCCAATTGATCTTTGGTGCTGGAGAGTATGGTATGTGTGCACTTGCTGAGAGAGGGTATCTTGGGCCATTGGTTGGTGCTGGGATTTAACACACGAAACATAGTTAATTTTCCATAGAAACCTTCACACCCTTTACATTTTATTAAGAGCTTCCTGCTACTGGCAATTGGACAAACTAATTAGAACAGTACAACTGTATAGTCAGCTTTGTTGTGACGGTAGATAGCGCACTCATTAATGTTTATTTTTGAATAATAAAAGAACTTTCATTTTCTAATTGTTTCACTAGATATTTTAGTGTGAAATTTATCTATATTGTTCATCTTTTTGATGGTGGTTGTTCTTTCTCCTCTCCCTGTCTCTGTTCTGTATGTGGTTTGTTGCACAGGGTTTTAGGAAGGTTGATCCAGATCGCTGGGAATTTGCAAATGAAGGATTTTTGAGGGGTCAAAAACATCTTCTTAGGAGTATCAACAGGCGGAAACCTGCCCATGGACACAGCCATCAACAGCCACAGTCATCACATTCACAGAGTTCTGTTGGGCCATGCGTAGAGGTTGGGAAGTTCGGTCTTGAAGAAGAGGTTGAGAGGCTTAAAAGAGACAAAAATGTTCTTATGCAGGAACTTGTTAGGCTAAGGCAGCAGCAGCAGACTACTGATAACCAGCTGCAAGCCATGGTGCAGCGGCTTCAAGGGATGGAGCAGCGGCAGCAGCAGATGATGTCATTTCTTGCAAAGGCTGTGCAGAGCCCTGGTTTCTTGGCTCAGTTTGTGCAGCAGCAAAATGAGAGCAATAGGCGCATAACTGAAGCAAACAAGAAACGGAGACTGAAGCAGGATGGTATTGCTGAGAGTGAGATTTCTGCTGCTTCTGATGGACAGATTGTCAAGTATCAGCCTATGATGAATGAGGCCGCCGCAAAGGCAATGCTCAGGCAGATTATGAAAGCAGAGGCTTCTTCCGGGTTGGACTCTTATAAGAACAATCCAGATGGTTTCCTGATTGGTGATGGTTCATCGTCATCCACTTCAGTAGAGAATAGAAGCCCCTCTAGTCGTGTATCAGGAGTGAGGCTTCAAGAAGTACTGCCAACTTCAGGGCAAAGGTCTTGTGTTTCAGCGTCTTCAGGAATCTCAATCCCCGCCGCTGCCATATCTGAAATACAATCTGCCCCAGAGTCTTTGACTTCTGAAAAAGTTACAACAGCTCCATTCCCAGATGTGAGTGTGCTGGTTGGGGCACAAGAGGGACCAACAATTCCTATTTCTCGGGGAGATGTTGTAATGCCGGAGCTGTCTCAATTATCCGAAATGGTGCCTGAAGGAATACTTAGCAGTCCCGAAGACAATTTCATGGTCACCGAGTCGGATGATGGATTGTTTGATCCAACATCATTCGGAGTGAATGGGTCGATTCCTCTAGATATAGATATTGATAGCATCCCTGCTGATCATGACATCGATGAATTGCTAAAGGATTCTGCCTTCTTAGATGAACTCCTTGTTCAGAGCCCGGCACCAGAGCAATCATCTCCAGATGGAACTTCAAAGGAAATTGAGGTACAACAAAAAGAGAATGGATGGAGCAAGACTCAGCACATGGACAAGCTTACTGAGCAAATGGGGCTTCTTGTATCGGATGCTAAAGGGGTTTGATCTTGTTTAACAAATGTACATTACGCACACCTTTCGAGGTAAACCCCGAAGATATTCCGTTAATCATCTTAATTATATGGTTATCTTCTTTGGCCATTGAAATAGTGCCTTGTTTGCCGGTGTAACTTGACTTTTGCTTGCACATATGGGGAACCAAACTTTAGATCTGGTTTCTTTTCTCATTCAATTTAACACTTCCTCTTCACAAATCAAATGTACTTGGCTAATTTTTTTTTTCCCTTTTTTCCCCCCTTCATTTTGGGATCTTTTGTGTAGGTTGATGTCTTGCCCTAGATAGACAGCCTTTGTTCTTAAGGAATGAGACTTGTGGATATTTTTGTACACATTTCACCTTTGCAATGTCCATTCCAAAGATTTAGGGCTTGTTCTTTTGGAGTGTGACTTGAGTATAGTTTTTGAGTTAAATTTGAGTTATAACTTAAGTTGAAGTTGTAACTTGAGTTTGTGTTTGGTTGTGTACATTTGAGTTATAGAGTGAGATAAGAATCTTTTTTTGAATTTGTGTTTGAGTGAGTCAAAACTTAAATTTGTATTTAGATAGTATTTTAATAAAAACTCAATGGTGATGAAAAATTTTAATAGGGTTTATGGGTGGGGTTTTATTCGTCTTTTCGTTGTCAACGCATAGAAAAAAAATCATCTCAATCATGATTAAAATGAAAAAGTTATATCATTTTTAAGAATAGAAAAAATATTGTTCATTAATTTGAGTTTGAGTTTTTGAACTCGAGTTGAAGGGGACACTTGAACTCGAGTTTTAGTCTCAAACTTGAGTTCAAACTCGAGTTTAAACTCAAAAGAACATGAACTTAAATAAAGTTAAAACTCGAATTGTTTTTTTTTTTTTTAGAATTTTTTAGGCAGCCGAACACACCATTAATTATCTATTTTACATTTACCTTTATGTAAGTAAAAGCATGTCCCTTCTATATTGTCTGAAAAACTAAAACCTTCTCTCGAGGTGACAAAATAAATTCCTAAACTTTTTTTTTTTTAATTATTTTTCGTTTGTATGTTATATAGTATACATGTTTCAGACACATCATACACACTTGTCCCATTGTCATTAAGCTGAGGTGGCCATGCATCTTCTTGCACGTGAACTCTCTTGCCTCTTTAAAACAAGTTACAACCAATCACTTATGGTCTGTTTAAAAAGTATATTTAAATCATGATTTGAGTTTATCAGTGGGAACGCTAATGAGCCTTTAGGAGAGAATAAATTTTGGAATTTAACTCTTTGTGAGATAAAAAATACTATACATAATCATAATTTGAGTTTTAATATAATTTCTAAGGTCCTGTTCATTTCATCAATTACAATTTAAAATTTGAGTTTTACTATAGTAAAAAGCTCTCAGAAATAATCATATTTAACTTTTTTACTATGGTAAAAAATTTTCACATAAAATCACATCTCAATTTAAATTAAAAATTTAAATTAACGAACTAAACAGATCCTAAATAATCTCTTAGAAACAGTGGCTGTGAGATCTACGTGATCCCATCAGGTAAGGCCCAATATATAAGTGATGGGTTAAAACCCGTGGGGTTAGAATACTATTTTTTGTTTCAATTTGCAGCTTCTCTTGGGAGGAGCAACAGCCCCCGTGCATGCTGAGCAGCTGAAGAAACATTTCTTATAGTTGCAGTCTTTTTTGCGCATATTCGCTTATTCGAATTTTTAATTCGAATTGAGATGTGACTTTATGTGAGAATTTTTTATTGTAGTAAAAAATTTAAATGTAACTGTTTATGAGAGTTTTTTACTGTAATAAAACTCGAATCGGTGAAATGAACGGGACCTCAGTTTTTTGAGAATCGTGGTTCTTCACAGTCTGCATGCAACTGCTTTCTATATTTGATTATATTGTAGTACCAAACTCGGAATGATATATTCTCAAACTATAACCTGAGGACGGCTTGGTTTGGACTGCAGGGGTTCAAATTATCTGTTTAATTTTTAATGTCTTATATGGTTCTAATCAATTATATTATGCCATATCATTTAATGAATTTAAACAATAAAGACCTATTTAGTTCATGCATTTAAATTAATGATTCTTGATTTAAGCATTTGAAATTCAAAATTTTTTGTGAGAAGAAAGTACTGTAGCAGAATTAAAACTATAGATTTAAATGCAATAAATAAATGAGTCTTAAAATATGAAAAACCGGGTGATTTTAGTCCGAACTTGAATCAGGGTTGGTTCTAATGTGATACCAACCCCCTGAAATATCTTTCATTCATGGCCTGGTCAACTTAAAAGATAATGTATACCGTTTTAACAGCCAGATCTCCCAACATCTTTGGAATAACATTGCAAATTATGAGTTCAATTGGAATATATATAATATATCCATAATATTTTTGTCTTCCTTTATTTTTCATTTAGACTTTTTGATTAATATAAATATTTAATTAAAAAATATATTAATAAAAAATAAAAAATAAAAATTTAAGCGTATTTATTTCCTTTTTCTCTTATCCACAGTTACATAATAAAAGATAATATTCTCTTTTAATAAATTATTATTATTATTATCATCTTCCTCATCCCTTGTGGGAGAAATGTTCTATTATCTATCCTCGTATTCCTTATCAAGATTTCGAACTTAACCGTCACTTGGATGTAACACTATTTTTGGTGCTAATGATAAATATTGTTACATAATAATTATTCACTGAACAAAATTTGTGGTGCGAATGATAATTATTGTTACATGATTCTTCCTTTTCTTTAGGGCACAACAGGAATTAGTTGCAACCAAAAAACTTTCTGCACTTCTCTATTTAACCCAAAAGGAAAATTAAAGCTAACAAAAAGGTACGTGGCAGAGTAACATATTAATGAGTAATCAGCTTTTGCCACGTAACACATTAATGAGTAATCAGCTCTTATTTATTTATTTATTTATTTTAAGGTAGTAATCAGCTCTTAAACTAAGTAACTAACTATAAGTTTGTGGTTAATTAAAGAAGGGAAGCTACAAATATCATCCCCATAAAACCTCATCTTCCCTTTATTTTTGGGTTGTTAGACAATTGTTAGCCCTCTCATCATTTCACAATATAGATATTTATATTAAAAAAATTATAACTCTATACACCATTAGATTTTTATTAAATTCCATTAAATTACCATACTGATGTGATGTAATGGGTATTTTTCTTTTGATGATATATATATGTAGCACATAACCATTCTCCTACAATTTCTATATATACATAGTTCAACTGGTTATCATTTACACCGCCACTTAGCAGCAAAGAGTATCACAAACAAAACAACCTGCACACGAATTACAAGACCAACAAAATTGGATCAAAACTCACTCTGTGTCCGTTAGGCTGGCTTGTTTTTCTCACCTTATATATTTGTGCCGTCAGATCAATTTCTTTGCTATTTTTAGCTTCTATCAAACGTGAGAGAAGACACAAAATCAGATCACTTTCTTTCATGTGTGTTGAGTACTAATTAACCACTTATCAGTGTGAAATGACGACATTGGTAAGAACAAGAAGGCACCATCAAGCATTGAAGCTCTCCCTACCACCACCAATTCCGGCATCAAAGTTCCAAACCCCGATGTACTCTAAAACACTGTCTCCGGCTGCAAGCCTGGGCTCCCCGGTTATCAAAAACCTCTTTGAGCTCGAAAAGATCGCCGTTCTTGGCCATGGCAACGGTGGCACGGTCTATAAAGTCTTCCACAAGGGAACTTCCTCAATTTATGCCTTGAAAGTACTCCGATTCAACGATGATTCGGACAGAGTTTGGCAACAAGCAACGCGCGAAGCGGAGATCCTTAAGCTCGTTGATTCGCCATTTGTCATAAGGTGTAACAGCGCTTTTTACAACAATGGACTCGCTGTTGGAAGTGATGAACCCGGTGGTGCCGATCTGAGTTTTGTGATGGAGTACATGGAAGGAGGGTCATTGCAGGATTTGCTTGTCTCTCGAAAAACATTGTTGGAGAAGGAAATCTCCGAGGTGGCTGGATGTGTCCTCCTAGGGTTTCGCTATCTCCATGACATGCAGATTGTGCATGGAGACATCAAACCCTCAAATCTTCTCGTGAATGGGGAAGGAAAGGTGAAGATTGCGGACTTTGGGGTGAGCCATGTGGTGGACGGCGGTGGTGTTGCGCGACATTTGTTGCTGGAGTCGTGTATGGGCACGTGTGCCTACATGAGCCCCGAGAGGTTTGATCCAGAGAGGTGGGGTGGGGGAGGAGATGGGTTCGCCGGAGATGTGTGGTCACTTGGAGTGGTGGCACTGGAGTGCCATATGGGCCGGTTTCCCCTAACAAGGGCGGGGCAGAGGCCAGATTGGGCCACTCTAATGTGCATAATGTGCTTCAGGGAGAGGGTGGAGGTGCCTGAGACGGCGTCACCCGAGTTTCGGAGCTTCGTGGAGAGGTGTCTTGAGAAGGATTGGAGGAAGAGAGCCACGGTTGATGAGCTTCTTGAACACCCTTTTGTGAATTAGTTGTGTATTTTGTTCCGCTTGGTTGAACATGAGAATGTTCCGATTTTCTTTCTTTCTTTTCAGATTATAGCACAATTCTTTTGTTTGCATATAAGTAGAGATGTTACAGCGGTGGAGCGCTTAAGTGAGCAAGGTGAGGTGTTTGGTCGTGGGGATGATATATTATTTTGTTGGAATAAGTTTTGTTGTGGCACTCATGAAATCCTTGATTCTTCTCAATCTCGTCTCTAGAACAGTATAACTATAAAAAGCTAACCAGAATTCCCTTAAAACAAAATGACAGTAACAAAATCACAAGTTGTCAGTTGGTATTGTATATCTACTTAAATAATAGTTCCACATCTAATCAAATAAATAGCGAATTATGATAAAGAACATGTTTTTTCTTTTAATGAAATTCATGGCGTGGTCTTAAGGATACGTTTTGCACGAGAAATTACGATTCTGATGGAAATAGAAAGACAATAGGTCCTGATCAAAGTGCAAAGATAACAGAAGGACATAACAGCTAGAGCCAAAAACTCTTACATCCTTTCTCAGATAAATCTTCATAACTTGAACAAACATTAATCATAAACCCTTGAGACCTTTGCTTAGAACATCATTTTCACAAGAAAAATGTCAAGCCGGCAATAAAATCTATGGCAATTCATGTCGAACGGTGATAAAGATGCTACCACCGCTTCCACATCTATATTCACCAAACGAGACATATCAAAGAGGCAGCGTATGAACAGTTTGAAAATACAAGATCCTCTTGAAGATGAAAAGGTGGAAATTATTTTGGTGGGGCTGTACTCTTAATGTTTGAAATCTCTGTCTGCTTCTGGAGAAAGCCACCTAAGCAGGAAAAACAACATTTTGATGCAAAACATAGAAATAAATGAGTATTAGTTGGACTTATATGTCTGGCTCAGAGTTTCAAATAACAGGAACCATACAAGCACTTCACAAAAACTGGGATGCCAAGATCATACAGTGTCAGATATGTGAGTTCTCAATTGATAATGATCTCCAATTCTCTTATCTTTCTTATCCCCATCCAATTTTAAAATTTCAATTTTTATCCCTTTATTTTCTCAAAAGCTTTAGTTGTTCCCCCTTTTCATTAGAAGAATTATAACTGCGCCCACTGAAATATATAAGGATATCTAAACTCAATAAAAAAATTATCTCCGAATTTTTTAATTGTGCCACCACTGAAAAAGTTGCTGGCTCCGTCATAGAATAGGTATGTCTTTGGTACTACCTCACAGACTCGCTATCCCCCTGACTATCCTACGAGAGTCAATCACTATCCTACCATTTACTTAAAACCATGTCACCTCCAAATCCACCAAAAGAAATGCTACGTCCAATCAATGTATTGGAAAACAAGGGCCCGTTTAGAAGGTATACTGAAACCATGATCTTTAATTCTAATGTTTGAAATTCAAATTTTTTATGAGGAAAACACTGTAGCAGAATCAATGATTTGAGTTTGAGTATATGAAACAAAGGGAACAATTCACATAACAAAACCAAAAGAACAACAGTTGAACTGACCCTTTCTTGATATCATGTTGATACGGGAGATAGGTCCTTCAAACATCCAACTATCTTCATCCAGAGATTTAACCTCCTTGTTAAGTGCAGCCATCAGATCAGCTTTTATAACTGCATTGCAAAATGTTACCACTCTTCATATCAAATAGAAGGTTTTTGCAGCCAAGAAACACAAGGAAAGAGACATTGTAGTAACCTAGAAATAATTGTGTCAACAATCTAAACTTAGCTAAATTCACTACAAACAGAACAACATGTTCGTGGACTAATGTCTTAAATCAAAAGATTGTCACCACTTTAACAGACAAAGCTCTTTAACAACTATAAAATAGATAATAAAATAACAAAAATTAAACCTTTCTCATGTTCTTTTTTCTAAAGCCACATTAACCCTTTGGAGAAGATCAAATGTAGTTCAAAAATGGCGTCATTCTCACAATTCAGAGCATAAGTTTTACAGGAAACATGAAACAGTAATGTGAAACTTTAACTAGAATATAACAAAACCCAGAAATTAGAAAAGAAAAAGTAAAAAAAAAAAAAAAAGGAATCGTTTAGTTTTTCATCAGTATAAAGGCCCAGACCCCCAGAGAGATAACGGCAGAAAGATAATGACCCAGATAGAAAAAATAAATAAATAAATAAAACCCAGTAAAAAAATGCAAAAATGGAAGGTTAGGAAAATAATAATCAAAAGAAGAAGACGAAAGTAAATGAAAAAAAGGAAGCAAACCAAGCATGGCGTCGTCTTTGCGGTCTTGAACAGAGATAAGATCAGAAGGAAGATACAAATCGTCAGCGGAGAAAGCAGCATTACTACCACTTCCTCCTCCTCCGCCTCCGCCACCAACAATTGCTGTCGTTGATATTGACGAATTTGCTGGTGACGTGCTATTCATTCTCTTTCGAATTTCTTTCCCCTTTTTTTTTTTTTTTTTTTTAATAAAATGGTGCTTTTGCTACTTTATTAATTCAGGTCTAATGTCTATCGGTTGTTCCAGAGTAACGTTTGAGGGCTCACCCAATAAATGAGAAACCACTCGTGCTAACTATATATGTATATATATATATATATACACACACACACACATACATACAGAATATATAGGACTTGTTTAGTTCTAACTTTTTATTTTAGTATTTTAAATTTAAATTTTTTATTAGAAAAAACACTATAACATAATTAAAACTATGAATTTAAACGTATAAAAAAAAAGATCCACACTTTTTAATATAAATGACTGCTAAAAATAAAACTTTAACAATAATTCCTTTTTTCATCTTATTTTAGGACGCCCATAATCTCTTAACAACATAATTTATTTATTTTTTGTTTCAAGAAAACATAAATTTAATTTAGTTATCTTGCTCTCAATTTCAATAGTCTTACATTAGTTTAAGATTTGACCAAAACAATATTTTAAAAGTACGGGGTGAAATTGACACAAAAATTATAATTCATGGACCATTTCTAAAATAACATTAGTTCATTGAGTGTCTTAAAATTAATTGTCAAGATAAGTTTAAGACTGAATTGTCAAACACGTAAAATTTAGGAAATCTTTAAAGAAAAAAAGCCTTTATAAAAATGTCAAATAGGTGATTTGTTAAAAAAAAAAAAAGATTATAAAAGCCAAAACCACTTATAAACAAGCTTTAAAATAGTTGTTGAACTAATAAACCGAAGAAACTTTTTTTAAGTGGATCTAAATAGAACTATTTGCACTAATAATAAAATTTAGGATTCCAACGAAAAAAATATAAATTATAAAGTTCGAGATAATTTATTATTATAATTAAAATTAAAGTTAAGGAGATTCAATAGGTGCGTTTGGAATTAGTTCCAAAATATTTTTGTTTTCTATATGAAAATAGAAATGAAAACGTTTTTATTTTCATTTTGAAATTATTTCTTAAATGCGTTTGGTAGTTTTATTCAGAGATTGATTTCAGTTTTAAAAAAAACTGAAACTGCGTTTGGTGATTTAATTTTTAAAAACATGTAATAATATTTAAAATAATATATTAAATAAAACACCTTTTTTTCGTTTTTAATTTTTCACAAAAGACAAAAATGATTTTGTTTTCGTTTTTAAAAAATTTTTAGGCCAAACGCATTTTATATTTCCATTTTCATTTTTTAGTCTTAAAAAATGTGAAAAATAAAAATGAAAACGGAAACAAACAGGGCCAATAGGTTTTGAAAAAATAAATTATTAAAAAATTTATATTTTTAACCGTTAAATTTATATAAAAAATTATTAATAATTTATATTTTTTTAATAATATAATATTAACCGGTCTTAAGACCATTAAAAAAAGAAAAAAAAATCCCTTAAATTAAAAGGAGAAAACCGAACTTGGTTTTAGTTGGTTTACGGTGAATCCGAACTTGGTTCTATAAGTTCCGGCTTTCGCCAGTCCCCAACAGCAGTAAAAAGGAAAAGCCATGGAAGATGTACCCGCCCCGGAACCCGGTACCAGCACCGCCGTCAACGGCGGCAAAACCATTCCAGAATGCGAGGACATGATCCGAAGAAGTCTCAGAAGTATTATTCCTTCCTCTTTTTTTCACTTCTTTTCCGCGTTTGGGAGAACCAAAAACACTTGCAAAGAAAGGGATTTGCCGTGTGGGGTTTTTGTAGGGTTTTAGGAACCATCCCAATTTCCGTTCTTTCTTTCTTTCTTTCTTCTTCATGTTCAAATCTTCGATTAATTGTTGAGTTCATGCTTGCTACAGCTCCAATGGTGAAGTTTCTTTTGGAGAATCTGGAGAAATCTGGATGTGCTATTGGGGACAAATTTATCAGGGCCGTTCATTGCAACAGGCGGCTTGCCGGTGGCTATGTCCGCGGCGAAGGGGTCAGACTCTCTCTCTCTCTCTCTCTCGGCTTTTTTCGTTTACTTATTCAATTGGTTAAGTTCCAAGAACAGAACTTTACATTTATAATTGCAATTAAGTAAATATTATCAAAGAGTTTAATTTCCTACAATTGCGATTCTGTACATTTCATATGACAAATTTAAGGTTGCTTATTTGTTTATTGGTATTTAGCATTCTAATCTGGTTAATATGTATGTGTACACACACACACACACACACACACATAAAGGAGGCATTTTTTGTTTGTTTGAAATTACATTTTGGGAGTAAAAACTAACCTGCATTCTAATTAATTTATTCTTTCTAGACTGAGTTTGATAGTCACCTTGTGATTTTGTGAGCTCAATTGGTTGTAAAGTGGTTTTGTTGGTCTAATTGTTGTAGCTATGCGTGGACATTGTTGTTTCTACTTATTTTGGATTAACGAACTTGTTGAAGATTTTTAGTATTTTTTAACTTCATTGTTATGTGATTGTGAATTTATATTAGATTATCGTGTGTAGTAATCACATGAATATCCAAGATGATGTCAACCAAGTGGTGATACACGAGCTAATTCACGCGTACGATGATTGTCGTGCAGCAAACTTGGATTGGGCTAATTGTGCCCATCATGCTTGTAGTGAGGTGGGCATTATTGTCAACAATGGAACTCCTTTTGATGAATGTATACAGATGTTCTCTCTCAAATTTGTTTCCATCAAGTCATTTATGTTTATGTGGAACAGATTCGTGCTGGCCATTTAAGTGGTGATTGTCACTACAAAAGGGAACTACTCCGTGGTTTTGTAAAGATACGAGGTCATGAACAAGTGAGTTTTTTCTTCTTCTTTTGACTGGAAACTTGAGATGTAGCATGCTCATTCCTGGATAAAATACTGTGCTGTTTAGTTCTTGTATTTTGTTTGGTAGCCGTCTAAGATAACTGTACTTTCCCACTCTTCAACAAGAAATGCAAGAGAAATTAAGGGAGGACAAAAAAGTAACTGAGATACAGAGAATGCTTAATCTGACTTTTATCATGGCTGAGATGATGAGAAACACCCCCATATTTTGCTCCTCGCGGAATCACGAGTTTAAAAGGTTAAGTCATGTAGGGAGGCAAATTGAGGAATTGCACAGATTTTATATCACTGATTCCATCATCTTTTTCAAATTAAGTTTATGTCTACTGTAGTTTGGATTACATAAACCGGTTAGTCCGTTTATCATTGTACCCGAGCCATCTTTTTCATCTTGTTATGAAGGATATATATATATATATATATATAATTCTCCGTATGCTCATTGTGAAGACTGAAGTATGCTGAATGAGCATAGTATCTTGTGATGTATTTTTGCTTGCAAAGTTGCTGCAGTACTAATAGTATTATATTGTCACTTTTAATAAAAGAGAAGCAGAAAACGGAACTGATTTGCGTTTATCAATTTATTTTCTAACTGATCACCGCATTCAATATTCGTGCTCGACTTTGCGCAAACATGAAGCTCTCTGTATGCTTTAGCTTGCTTACATTATATGTTGTTCATAATTGAATTTGAATTGGATTCTGGTTTTAATTTTGAAGGATTGTGTGAGACGAAGAGTTATGAAATCAGTGATTGCGAATCCTTACTGCTCAGAAGCAGCTGCGAAAGACGCCATGGAAGCTGTATGGGATATTTGTTACAATGATACAAAACCATTTGACAGAGCTCCTTGAGCATAAAGATAGCCACCTTATGATGCCAAATTAGTTGCAGCAACAAATTTTCTGCTGCGTCTTTGACGAGAGATGTTCCTATTCCTTGATAAGACAACATTTAGTTTCAAAGGTTTTATTGTATTAAAAAAATTTTGCTCCATCTTCTGATTATTCTTGCAATACCTCTGACCATTTTTGTGGGTCATTCAGATTGCACACTGGTGATTCATATTATTTTCCCTGGTCAAGACTCAAAGATAGAGAGCAAGAGTTCTCCACAAGTTGGTTTTGTCTAATAAGTCATTTTTTCTTTGTTACTGAAGAATTTTTATTTACTGGTGTACCACATAGGTGGGTCCCATAACATAGGATCATAAACCGGGGTCCATTTTCTATTACTTTTGGTGTTAGATATCACTTGTGCCTTCAGGTATTTTGTAGTGATGGCTTATGCATCCTACAGTAACCAAAGTGCTATGATCCCAAGGTGTTGTCCTCTACAGAGAAATTTTTTTTTTTTTTTTTTTTTTTTTTTTCAAGCAATGAGCTGAATATGATGTCATCTGTCTAAATACAATTTGAGTCACAAAGAACTTTGTGCAAAAGCAAGATGGCTATTTATACACAGGAAAATTCGAATTCTCATGTGAGACTTTTCACATAATGTGCACAATGTTATTGGATGTTTGACCAGCATATGAAAAACTGATTTTGGACAAATAACTATCGATCACGTTTGTAATATTGCTTTTCCAGAAAATAATCTCCTCAACTCATTGAGACTTGGAAGAGTCGAGCAAATAAAATATTTAGTGCTCATTAGCAGCAACGAGCAAGGCCTTTTCTCATCTATGGAAGATCAAATGTGTGTGTGTGTGTGTGTGTATACACTTATCTTTTTGTTTTTTGTTTTTTGTTTTTTTGTTTTTTTGAATATTCTATTAGCAATTTTCCATTGTGTTATGGAGACATGCAATGCAAGTGTGGAAGGTAGTGCGCAGCCGGGAGCATTCTTTTTGCTTTCACTTTTTTGAAATTTGACCCTCATTAGCCGCAGAAAGAAACAAAAAGAAACCGCCTTACACATGCTATGTGCACATCCCTAAAAACATTCCCTTCTTTTCAGACTTCCGCGTTACCTAGATTCACCTATGCTAAACATATATTCTTTCAACATTTGCCTCCTAAATCCTAACCTAAAGTCTTATCCACACCATCTAAATCTTGCATATAAAAAGACCATCATTGAGTTTGAAGATGGTAGGAAAAATTCAACATTTCCTTCTATTTAGCATATATAGTATGATGCTTGGGGAGAAGTAGAGAGTATGGGGAAAGATTGATATATATGAAGGTCAGGGTGTTGCTTAAGACTATACTTCATCTCTTGTTTATTTGTCAACACTACAATACATTTGCAGCCAGAACACAAATCCCAGGTAAAAGAAAGTAGAGTTTTTAAATGAATATTTAGGTGAAAAAAAAGATAGTACTTAGTAGTTCTAGTGGTGTAAATATGGGCTTAGTCGGGCCGCCCGTCGGCCCTTTTCTCGGCTCTAAGTAGTACTTTGGTTTATCATTGGTTAACAACGTTGAGTTTGCAGGTGTAATGGGGTCAGAATATGGTCATGAACAACAGCAAGTGGGAAGAAGATCACAAGTGTTTGGTCAGGAGAGAGTGCCTTCATGGTGGTCCGAGGATTACTCCCGGCCCCGAAGACGGAGGCCGGTGCATAATAGTTTAGAACACTAAGTGGGGGGCTCACCTCTAGAGCCTAGTGTTTGTCTTTGATATTTTGCGGTTTAGCTTAAGCAGTTAACTTTTATTAGAAGCACTAATCTTCAGTACTACTATAACGAAAACCGTTTAGAAGTAGCTAAAATAAAACACTTATCTGATATCTCTTATTCTTGCTGATATATAAGGCCTTTCTTCTGTTATTTTTCTGAAGGAGTTATTGCAGAATCCAAAGATTCCAATTATCTTGGTGGCATGTTCCCAACTTCCAAGTACTCTTGTGCCATTCGAACTAGACTTGACCGAATGTTGCTAGTCCCTCTCATTAGGGCATTTTACTTTTCTAGGATAGTCCTCAAATTTGATTTGCAAGTGCCAAAAAGAGAGACCAAAAAAAAAAAAAGAAGACCCTTTTGTCTCTTTAAAGGTAATTTCATTTAAAATTGAATAATGTTAAAAAGAGTGGTGAGTGACACGATTATCTTTTATTTATAATGATGTGAGTTTTACTTTCACAGGAGATACGCTAAAAAAAAAAAAAAGACATGCATGTTACCCTGCAAATAAAATAATTTATCCTGCTTGTTCCTGGTTACACATTGCGGATGCAGAAACAGTTCTCTTCCATGTTCCAAAAGGCACACTGCAGATCCGATTTCCTTTGCTTTTCGCTATTGTATATTAATATTAATAGGTATAGATATTAAATAATCTAACTATGGACCCCCTCTTTTATTTGATTGTTATCACAGCTTCAAAAGGTCGTATGAGATTCATGTTATACTACTTCGTTTTCTTTCTCTGAGGGAATGTTCTGATAGTAATTTTTAGAAATTCATGTGATTCAACATTTGGTTGTTCGTACGTTTAAAATTGTTTAATGTGATGCCATTTAAATTGTGAAAAGAAAAATTGCCACTCAAACTATGAAAAAAATAAATGTGTCTCGTGATTGTTAGATTTTTTTAATAAACTTCCCTTTTTGACTGGAAGTTTCAAACGGTGAAAAATCAAAAAGCAAACTAAAAAAAAGGGCTAATTACAGAAGAATCCTTTGTTTTGTAAATCTTATAATAAAATTGAAAATTAAAAATCCATCAAGGTTGGATTACAAATTAGTCAATAATACGGGGGTCTTCATGAAAACATATTGGTCAATGTGACCCCTGTTGGAAAAACATGGTTCATGTTATGTGGATATTTTGAGTCTGGATTTTGAGATGGTTCCACTTGGTCTTTGTAGAAGATTGCATTCGAGTTTTCCTCCTTGAGATTTTCGAAATAATATATTATAGGCTTAAAATGGTGCTTAAGTGAATGAGAAATTGATGAAAGTAAGAGAAAAAATTCTTGTTCCCCATGAGAAAAGACCTACGGTGCTTGTAGAGGATCACACATTTGTTGTTATGTAATCTAGTAAGCAAAGAGGCTCTCTCACATGCGCGTTGGGGGTGCAAATTCCAAACCGAATTTTAGGATGGATCCAAAAGACTCGTATGCGAGTGCTTGTCTTGTAGGCGAAGAATGTCGCATTGACAAACTGGTCCCACACGGGTTTGGTTTTACCGTGTCCTTTAATTTTTTCAGATTAATATGATGACTTTAATACTAGAGTTAATCGGCCATTTAAGTCTCAGAATAAAAACATTTTGCAACAACAAAACGTTTTGGATTAATAGGAAATTAATCAGCATCATTCCGGAATTGATTACCAACGCTCCAACAGCCACCTCTGAATGACTTTAAATTAGCTTTCCCCTCTCCATGTTTTGAAACACCAAAATTCACAGAGCATTCACAAATAGTTCTAGTCATCAGGAAATCTCAAAGTGATAGAGTTTGAGCATTTTTCAAGTTCGCCAGAGAAGCTTCGTTGTGCACCGTAGCTCCTCGCGCGACCGTTCTATCTTAGGACACAGACGCCGGCTATCCTCAAGCAGTGACGATGAATGGCGAATTTGTTTTAAGGACATCAAGTGATACACGAGTCTTGGTTCCATTTGACGATGTGATTTTATTATTCTGTTTTTTGCCTTTTGTTGATGTATTTTGTATTTTTGTTGTTGCTATTGTCTGATTTATTGTCTCATATAATCCATTAATTTATTTGTTCGTTTTTATATTATTATATGAATAATTGACACTGATGGTTTCTAAACTCTTTAATAAGTGAGTTTAGTCATTGCTCCGTTCACTTCACCGATTCGAGTTTAGAATTTGAATTTTGTTACAGTAAAAAGTTCTCAGAAACAGCCACATCTAATTTTTTTACTACAGTAAAATGCTCTCACATAAAATCACATCTCAACTCGAATTACAAACTCGAATCAGCGAAGTGAACGAATCTATAGAAAGTGTCACGTGACCCATCACATCGTGTCTCATTCATTTAAAAAGATTTTAAGGGCCCGTTTAGTTTGCTGATTCGAGTTTTTTAATTCGAGTTGAGATGTGATTTTATGTGAGAGCTTTTTACTATAACAACAAAATTAGATGTTACTATTTCTAAAAGCTTTTTATTGTAACAAAACTCAAATTCTAAACTCGAATCGGTGAAATGAACGAGACCTTAGGTGCCTCCAAGTTTACTGTGCAATGATGCCAAACAAAACGAAAATGAAATTGAAAAAGGAATAAGACGTTTAGAATTGATTTTTGTTTGTTTTTTAAAACATTTTTGCATATCTTTTGAGGCACAGAAATGAAAACGGTCTGCAAATCATGTTTATTTAACTAATGTTTAAAAAATGAAAATAAAAAATAGTGAGAATGATTTTTATGAAAAAATTAGAAAACGATTGAAAATTATTTTTCCTTTTCTGTTTTCATTTTCTAATACTTATCAATAATATTATAATATATTAATTAATAATTATAACCAAATACAATTTCACTTTTTATTATATTCAAAATAATTTTTTAAAAAATTAATTAAATATAATTTTAGAATCAATTTTAAAATAATTTTTAAAATAATCTCATTTTTATTTTTATATTTAAAATAAAATCACATTATCAAATGGGCCCAAGAAATAAAATTGAAAAGTGAAAGCCCACTTTCCTCAACAGTGTTGGACACACGTTCATGGAGTCAGGTATATCAAGGTCTTATTTATTTTACTGATTTAAATTTTTAATTTTAAATTTATACAATTAATTTTTTTTAAAAGATATCATATTTAATTTTTTTTTATTGTAATTAAAAGCTCACAAAAAAATATTAAAGTCTCGTTTATTTTACCGATTTGAATTTTTAGTTCTAAATTTTTATAGTAAAAAATTTTTAAAAAATATCATATTTAACTTTTTTATTACAGTAAAAAGTTCTTAAAAAAATATTACATCTCAATTCGAATTGAAAATTCAAATTTGCGAAGGTAACGAGTCCTGAATCTTAGAACTTGTTTGGTTGGGGGATTCATATCCCAATTTAAATTATGGTTCATGATTTATTATAATATTTTTCTCATAAAAAATATACATAAATTAAAAATAATTCTAATCTCATAATTCTAATCCATGAACCAAACGTCTCCTCAGTCAAAATTCGAATCCACGGTAAACGAGGCTATATTATGAACTCTTTCTCCTGATGATTATGAATGGGAAAAACCGACTTCAAATCCTTTGGAAAAAAAAAAGAACTACTGCAAATCGAGGGAGGAGAGAGAAAGAGCCGCCACCGTCGCCGCGCGAGCTCAACCTTGTCGGGAGACCGTCCGTCGCGAGCCCAGCAGTCGTCGATCTTTTAGGTTGTCGCCGCCCAAATTCCTCCGTGGAAAACCTGAATATTCGTCGCCCAGATCTCTCCGAGCCTCCCGCCGGTTCAATACCAGACCGTCGCCGCCTCCCATCCACACAATATCCTCCCAAGGCTGCTACGCACTTGCACAAGTTGGTCACTTTCTTGGGCCAAATACTATTGTTTGGAGTTTTTCTTATTCTGATCGTCAAAGTTTGATTGTTGGAGGTTTTCTTCTACAGATTGTTTTAAGTTGATGTCTGATGGTTTGGATTCCAAACTGTATGTGGTTTAGAAATTGTCATTGTTTAATCTGTGTCTGGGTTTATCCTTTTAGTTTTTTTTTTTTTTTTTTTTTTTTTTTTTTTTTTTATTTGTCTAAAAATTTTTTTTTATAATATTTTTTTTTTTTTTTTTTTTTTTTTTTTTTTTTTTTTTTTTTTTTTTTAATTATTGGTCTGATAATTTTTTTCCAATCAATTTTATTGATTTGATCTAATTGTGTTTTGATGGATGTTATCTTCTTAGATTTTTTATTATTATTTTGAAGATTTAGCTCTATTAACGAGGAAATCTTTTCATTATGGCTTTGTTTTCTTTCTGGGTTTGTGCTTCAGTTACCTCGTATATGGAAAACCAGGGACAAGTTAACTTGTGCATTTGCTTGTTCGTTGGGATTTCTCTGATGGGCTTCTCTGTTTTTGGATTCTGCATAGATTCCTCATCATTTCCAAGCAAGGTCAGTTCTCTTTTCCTGTTTTGTTTCCATTAAAAAATGAAATGTGTCGTATGCTTGTCCATTAATGGTGTGGAAATTCTTTCATTTTTCCATAAAAAATTTACTTGATACTTCTTTGCAACTTTGACATTCCTAGAGTTTAAGGCTGAGTTTGGTAAGAGGAAAGTGGAGAGGAAGGGGAATACGATTTCCTTGTTGTGTTTGATATGGATTCACTCATATAATCCGTCCATATTGGGTGATATTGAAATTGGGATTTTTTGGTGGATTTGGAATTCCTCATCGAATCCATTTCCCCCTTTTTTTCCTCGTACTAAACAACCATAGGTCCCGAAATCCTTCCACTAAGCCTCTTACTCCTGTCCTTCCAAATGCGTCTAAAAGAGCAGAATTTGAGCTCCGCCACGCATTGTAAGTGAACGTTACAGCAATTTCCTTATACTGCCCACTTGAGAGGGCAAAAATTCTGTAAATCCTGCTCTATAGCATTAATGTTGTTGCCTATAGTAATTGTCCGGTTGTTTAGGGAGTGGGTCATTTAAGTTTTTTAATCTTTTTCCTTGCCTTGCTTCGCCTTGCTCATAACTGATATGGAATAAACTTACTGGTGACAAAAGTATAGAAAATCATGGCATTATTAAAATTGTGGCTTCTTAGCTGGTGTTACTATGTCAATATGGAGTTTCTCTTCAGATAATGTTTTATTGCTCCTAATGTGTGCTGTCATAGTTTTACTTCTTTTGTGATTATATATGATTGAATCGTGTTTCTTGTTCTTTAATTCTCCACTTATCTTTTTTATGATTCTTCCATCGAGGATTTTAACCTCTTAGTGTAAAATAAGAAGTAACATTTTTATTGTCCAGACTACAGTTTCAATTTCAATAAATTAAAGACCTCTTTATTTTCAGGGTGGAACAAGTGAACAAAATCTTGATCTGGAGAACTCAAAGAGCGGCTCCTTTGGTTATTCGACGTATATTATGCAATCCTACTTTGAAAAATATGAATGCCTGGATGATTCACGTTATAAAGATTTTGTGGCACAAGAACTTCCCCTTGGCTTGTGTGATGCTCCCGCAGATAATCTGAATCTTGCGCCAGGGCTGTCAGTTTTAGAGCGCAAACTGATTGGTGAAGGTTCTCATCGTCATCTCTCCTCGTCTATTAGAATTAGCATCCAACCTAGGTCCATATATGAGCTGTCTCATTGCAATTGTGGGGTCATACTTATTGAGAGGCTGCCTTGTGGAGTCTTCGCTGACCCATTCGAGCTTCAGCATCTCCTTCACCGTGGTGGTAATTGTGCTTTTCTTTCTCATAATGAACATATCATTGTCTTCCTTAATCATTAATTGGGTTAGTCTGTTTGATGCAGTTTTAAATGATATTGCTGTATTTGGAGATACAAATTTGGAATCACCCTCTTTCCTTTCAAACCGTTCTGCTGTTGAGGTTCACATGGACGTTGGTTGCAATTTTTTAAGGCAAAAGACCGAGATTGACATCAAGTTAGATATTCCACTACATGCAAGATACCAGGTAAGTGAAATAGACCATCTAGAATGTTAGGAACAAAACAGTTCTATCATACTAGCTACAGCATTGGAAAAAGGGGGATAATATCCGTTGAAGTAGACCTATTGGCAAGCGCGGCATTGAAATAGACCAACTTCTGTCAATGCGGTTTTAACAAGTAACATTTTGGCAAGCGTTGAAAAGGGATACTTACGCTTGAATACTTTATAAAATGGAGTGAATTGGCAATTGTGGCATCTACAGTATACTACCTTCTCAAAACTCTAAGAGCAACTCTAACTATGCAAGCCATTTCATGTTTTTAACCAAAATAGCTAATGATTTTGTTTTCTTTAGCTTTTCTCTACTCCAACCATTAGCTAAATGGTTAGCTATTTTGGTTAAAGCATTTTTCATTTGCTAAATATAACTAGCAAGAAGTGGCTAGCTATTTTTTTTATTATTTTATTATTTGTTTTGACATAAAGTAAAAGTTAAAAAAAAGTCATTTATATTTTAAATTAAAAAAAATATTAAAATAATTTATGTTTAGTTAAAATAGTGAGTATGGTTATAGTGACTCGGTAAAAAGTTGCTAGCTAATATAGTTTTCTAGTCATTTTAATTAGAATTTAGTTAAAATTTAGAGAGCTCCTTTGGAGATGCTCTAAACAATTTATTTCTGAACCCTATGGGTTCGTTTGGTATAAGGATTTAAACCAGGATTATTCTAATTATGATTATGGAACCATTTCCTTGCATTTAATACTTGTTTAACTCAAGACTGAAGCTTTTCCCTGGAAAGCTGAAATCTAGGTGGTCAGGTCCATTCTTAGTATCCGCGGTTTTTTCCCATGGAGCAGTGGAGTTGCAAGAAACTCACTCTAGAAGGAAATTTTTGGTGAATGGCCAGCGGATCAAGCATTATTTGGGAGGTCCTGTGGATCGCTGCAAGACTTCCATCATCTTGCAAGAGGCATAAATCAGGGAAGTAGTCAGGCTGATGACTTAAAAACAAGCGCTTTTAGGAGGCAACCCAAATCCAGCCGAATCATCATGAGTGCAAGAAATTCATTCACAAAACTAGAAAACATAGAAAATGCAAAATGAAAGTGAAGAACACAGAGCACAAGTAAAAACAGTGAAACAAAACAAAACAAAATCCACACTGCAGCAAGTCAATTAAGTGATGAAAGACTTCCTTGAGTGGTCAAAGAAGCTACTAATCTCCTCCTCAAAATTGCTTCAAGGCACTACGCAACCTCAATCGTCGAGACGATGGCTCCGAAGTGACTGATTTTCCTTTATCTGCTCTCCTCACGGAGGCAACGACTTTCGGTTCTTGTGGTTCTGCTGGTGTGGAATTGGGAGGGTCGCCGACCACTTCTTCCTCATCACGAGGTTCGTCAGCATCGGAGGATGAGTCACACAAATGCTGGGAAAATTTCGAAAAGGAGTGGAATCTATTGGAGTTGGCTCTGTAATGTTTCTGAAGAGCCAAGTCTCGCTGTTTCTCATATTTCTAGAACTCTCGCATGTTCTGTAAATACTCATATTGCAGTACCTCCACGTGACTCAATCTATGTTCCAAGCGGCAGAAACCTGCTGCCAAATTATCGCTAGGCTGCTCAGAAGCTAGAGTGCTAGGAACGGTGGGTGCAGGTGCTCTGCTCGCTTCCACCTCAGGTTGTGTATCATCTTGCAAGAGCCTAGTGATGGCAGCACGTGTGAGGGGCATTGGAGGCTGCTCTTTTGGCTCGGAGTCTTCAATAACCACACCATGTGTTGTGCACAACTGAGTGATAAGAGATGGAAACCATAGCCCACCATTGTTCCACCTTTTGATGTTGGAGGAGTTTGCCCACATTAAGGTTCCTGCCCTCAACAATACTATAAAGAAAGATAGCCCTCTCTTTGTGCACCACATGATCATGGGATGAGGGCATCAGTCGGAATTTCAAGAAATGGAACCAAACTTTTGGTCCTGGCTTGAGAAGCCTCCGGGGGATTGTCATGGAACCGCGGGTGGCCTTTGTCCACTCAGCACCCTCCATACACAGTGTGTGAAGGATTTCATCAAGCTGCTTCTCATCCAAACCCTCGGCAAATTCCTGGAAATGATCTTTTGTATCTGGCAGATTGTAAATTTTGTTAATTTCTGCAGATGTGAGTGGAACCCAGTGGTCTCTCACAAAGATTGAATCTGGTGTAGCTGGGTTGTAGTTTGCGTAGAATTCGCGCACCAACTGAGTCATTGCAGCAGGTTGACGATAGCAGCAAGTTTGCCATGCACGATTCTCTATGACTGAGTGAATGAAATCTGGGTCACCTAAGGTGCTCCGCGCGTAGATAAACCCCTTCTCCATATGTAGAGCACGTAAGTTTGTGCATGTAGTGAACCTGTCTAATGCTTGTGGAGAGACAAACCGTTCCATAGCCTGATTCTCCGGTTCAGAGTGTGTTTCTGAACTACCTGATTCAGCCCTCAGAGGCACGGCCTTCCCCTTCCTCGCTTTGCTCTTGAATGGCATGTTAAGGTGGTAGTAAAAAAAAAAAAAAAACTGAACAATGACCACCCTTTTCTTCTTCACTACTCGAGAGATGGCTGCCCCCCTCTAAGATTACTACTCACCGAACTCAAAAGAAATAATTCCTCCCTTTCTTACCCAACTCCTCAAAGCCTAGAACTGCTCTGCTTCTAACAACCCAGAAATCTACTATTTTTCAACTCTTGGAGCTCACTCACGGTGATGACAGTAAACACCCTAAATCTCAACACATCCAAGGATATTTCACTATTCAGAAGAAGAAATCACCCTTACCTTAAGGAAAATTTTTGCTTTGTTGCCGCGGCTCTCTCTTCCCCAAACTTGAGATGCACTGCACTGTGGGGATGCCTCGCTGAAGATACTAGGGACGATGGAGGCTCTATTGGAGATATTGATGAGGATGGCGGAGAGTTCAAGGGCGCGGCGGTGATGGGAGGGAGAAGATGAGTGGCAGTCGTGAATGGAGGAGTGTAGAGAGTGAGTGGGGTGTTTGAAAAATGAAAAGAGGGGCACAAGTGGGTGGGTGAAATTAGGGTTTCAGGAGGTAATGGGGACACGTTGGAGAGTAAGATGGTGCGGTTTTTTTTTTTGAACACGCCGAGTGAGTTTTCATTTTTTACTTGCTGCTCAGAATGTTGCCTAAAATGATGCAACATAGTCATAGCATTCTGGAAAACTTACTGTCATCTTGACTTTTTCATGTCCTCTGCTCTGCTTCATGATTCCTTCTCAGCGTTTCTTTTCTCTGCATAAGATTGAACTCTAAAATTAATTCTAACAACTAATAAACCACACACAAGCTAAAATGCAAAGGTAAAACAACAAAACAAAAACATATGAAAACAATCCTTTGGTTGCCTCCCAAAAACGCTTGTTTTTGAGTCATCAGCCTGACTACTTCCCCAATTTATGCCTCCTGCAAGATGATGGAATTCTTACAGCGATCCACAGGACCTCCCAAATAATGCTTGATCCACTGGCCATTCACCAAAAATTTCCTTCCAGAGTGAGTTTCTTGCAACTCTACTGCTCCATGGGGAAAAACCGTGGATATCATGAATGAACTTGACCACCTAGATTTCAGCTTTCCGGGAAAGAGCTTTAGTCTTGAGTTAAACAAGAGAACTTGTTGCCCTAGTTCAAACGTTCTGCTCAGAATCCTCTTGTCATGCCACCGTTTGACCTTCTCTTTGTAGAGCTTTGCATTCTCGTAAGCTTGGAGTCGGAATTCATCTAACTCATTGAGCTGCAAAAGCCTTTTCTCGCAAGCCACCCCCATGTCTAAATTCAACTGCTTATGCTCTAGTTCGAGAGGCAAATGGCATGCTTTGTCAAACACCAACTGGTATGGTGACATGCCAATAGGTGTCTTGAACGCTGTTTTGTAGGCCCAAAGTGCATCATCAAGTCTTTTGGACCAATCTTTCCTTGTGGGACAAACAGTTTTCTCCAAAATTGTCTTGACTACTCTATTGGAGACCTCGGCTTGCCTATTGGATTGGGGATGGTAGCTCGTGGCAACCTTGTGTCTCACACCATATTGAGCAAGAAAGGCAGCAAACTACTTGTTGTTAAAATGTGTCCTTTCATCGCTGATTATTGCTCTTGGTGTGTCAAATCTTGTAAAGATTTGCTTCCTCATGAAGTTCATCACCACCTTTGAGTCATTTGTGGGAAATGCAGCCGCTTTACCCATTTTGAGACATAATCAACAGCCACAAGGATGTACAGATTCCCATAGGATGGTATGAAGGGTCCCATAAAATCAATCCCCCATACATCGAACAACTCCACCTCTAGAATGTTGGTTAGAGGCATCTCATGACGTCGAGAGATGTTACCTACCCATTGACAACGATCACATGTGGCTGCAAATTTATGGGCATCCTTAAACAGGTTAGGCCAATAAAAGCCAGATTGTAAAATCTTTGCTGCTGCACGATCTCCCTTGAAATGCCCACCATAAAGAGAAGAGTGACATTGCCTCAGAATTTCTTCAATTTCCACTTCTGGGACACATCTTCGATTAAAGTGATCACCACATCGCTTAAACAGAAACGGCTCATCCCAAATGTAGGCCTTGATGTCATGTAGAAACTTCTTATGCGAGTAGTTCAAGTCCGGAGGCAACATCCCACTCACCAAGTAGTTGACAAAATCAGCATACCATGGCACTTGAGATTGGGCAACTGTAAGCAACTGCTCATCAGGAAAAACTTCATTAATGATCACATATTCTTCACCCACATCTAGTCGTTCTAGCCGAGACAGGTGATCAACCACCTGGTTCTCTGTCCCTTTTCTATCCCTGATTTTCAAGTCAAATTCTTGCAAGAGGAGCACCCATCTGATTAATCGAGGTTTGGCATCCTTTTCTCCACAAGGTACTTGATGGCTGAGTGATTTGTGTAGACTATGACTTTAGTCCCCACCAAGTAGGCTCGAAATTTGTCAAAGGCAAAGACAACCGCCAAT